TTTTACTAACCCTAAACTGTCAGCTGCCAAATTGTTCTTTTTTTCAGGGTTGCCAACAATTTACTGCAAAAATGGATTCAAATTCAAATCTTGTGTTGATTTTGGGACGCCCTTTAGATAGACTGGGCTTTATTATCATTATCTTAAAAATCATCTTTAACATACAAAGTATTGCTCATTTAAAAAATTTTAATCTAATCTAGTGTTGTACAATTCAAAAAATATGACAGTTCTATGCTTGAAGCTACTCAAATTCAATGTTCCATTGTCGAATATTCAACAAAAATGCCTATTTCACTGAGTTTTCTCAAGTCTAAAAACAAATCCATCATACTGTCTAAGTTTCGGCAGTAAAATGGCTTTCGAAGTCGAAACCTTCAAGCATTTTACGTTAAAACTGAAGATGAATATACTCATACATACACTATGAGAGATCGATTTCGGTTTATTTAATGTCGTTCGAAAAGATTCAAAGTATATATTCGTTTCAATGATTCTTTCCCGTGTAGTATTGAATAATTTATTGAAGGGGCATTCATATTTCATAATCTCGTATTTGTATATTCATTCCAAATAAAATAAAATTGCAAACAGATTTGTTTACCAGATCTTCAAAAAATTCTCACACAACGCAAAGCTTTATTTGTATTAAAACTAGAATTAAAAATGGCATGCAATGTTTCGAATAAGCGCTTCAGTATAATCTTCTCTTTTTACGTTTTTTCACCCGAAGATAAAAAATGGCAAGATGATGGATAAAATTTTTAACCTTTATTTATTTATTAATTTTATTCTTTTGTCAAAAATAGCATTAAAATAGTTTTTTACTCTCAAAATTTAAAAACAAATCCAACATACTCAAGTAAAAAATTTTGATGGTCTTCCATTGATGGACGTACATGATAACCATCAATAATTCCATCATGAACCATTGTGGTTTTTGATGGTAACCAAAATAAGTAACCAGCACCCTAATGTAGGAATTCGGACAGATTTATGATGGTCCAACATAAGAATAGCGACTTGTTTTGATGGTTTTTTGCATTGAACCATCATAATTTTACGTCATAGTTTCTTAAAAATCAAATGTTGGAATGATCGTGAACCATCATCACCCCAATGTAAGAATACGGCCTGATTTATGATGACAAACATAAAAAAAAGAAACTTTTTTGATGGTAACTGATGGTTCCTGAGAGCCAACAAGAATCCCCATTAAACCATCATGTAAATATATAGTTGCAACCATCACGGATCATCATGGATCATCATCATTGATCCATGGGAATAAAACTTCTCTTGATGGTTAACCATCATAGAGTATAAAAGTGGCATTTTCTATCATAAAATGATGGGCGTTTGTTGACATATCAAAAACAATGAACGCATAAGAGAAAATATTGGATGATGGTAACCATTAAATGATGTTGGACCATCATGAATCGCACGGAAACCAACATAAACCATCAAAACTTTTTGAAGGGACCATCAAGAATTTTTATGTGGGATATTGTCTTAGTTTCTGTAGTAAAACATCTTTTTTAAGGGAAATTTTTCAAGCATTTTGTCTTGAAATATATATATATATACATAGATGCCAACTTTCGAGCACGATTTTCCCCAGTGGTAGTAAAATGGAATTTATATTACAATTTCAGGCAGAAACATACGTTGCATTTTGAAAGGACTTTTACGGACTACAGCGAAAGTATTGCATATTAATGTATATGCTTAATATTTTTTAAGATAGTGGTGGTTAAAAAGATTATAAATTAAGTTTATAAAATGCAAAGAATATATAGAAAGCATCCATTTTACTACCACTTTAAAGATAGAAATAAAATTTTACGCCAAATGCGTAAAAGTTGGCAGGTATGTATATACTACTTAATTAAAAAAAATCATTAATTTATGANTAGTGGTGGTTAAAAAGATTATAAATTAAGTTTATAAATGCAAGGAATATATAGAAAGCATCCATTTTACTACCACTTTAAAGATAGAAATAAAATTTTACGCCAAATGCGTAAAAGTTGGTAGGTATGTATATACTACTTAGTTAAAAAAAATCATTAATTTATAAAAATTTAAATTTCATAATTTTATTTAAAAAATTATATTTTATAAACTGAATCAAACATATTAACTAGTTATCAACCTTTTTGGAAAAGAAAATTGATGATAAAGTTCAATCTTCCCATTTGGGTTTTGAACCTATGACCTCTCAGGTAGAAAGTGGGCACATTAACTGTTCCACAAAGTGTCCTCAGCAACATTTTAGCTTTTGTTGATTTAAAGCTAAATCAACTGAAACTTTAATGGGACCTATTTTACCCTAGGGCTCTCATCAGAAGCTATTCAAGGTTTTCAAACATGCTCTTCCATTTCATATGTTTTAATAGGATTATTCGGTATGTTTGCTTGCATTGTCAGTTAGAACGCTATTGTTTCCCTGTACTGAACTTAAAATTGTGTTTTGTGTCTATTCTTTCCATTTTTAAAGCAATTTATCTCACTATTTTTGATGTTTGGGATTGATATAACTGGGTATTCAAGAAGTATAAAAGCAGTTAAATGTCTGGAGAGAAAAAACGCATCGGACCATTCTCAGCATCCATTCTGTCACGGAAACTTATATGTGATATCACAAGACAAAGTACCATGAAAGTCACATAATTGGGACATTTCCAAACGGCCTCACCTGTGACTGTCACTGCTGTGAAGGTTTTTGACTTTATTATGATGCCACTGTGACAATCTATGCTATCTGGGCAACAAACCTAAAATAAATCTAGATTTCATTTAAAAAAAAGTAACAGATTTAATAAAAAATAAACAAACAAGTCATTTCATAACAACAACGAAATCCAAAAGATTTCTGCGGTTTTTTTTTTGTTTTTGTTTAAAGAACAGCTCAAAAAATTTGACCTCCTAACGTCATTTTATAAACACACGTTTAAATATCCTCGTTTCAAATTACCCATTTCAAAATACTTCACACATTAATTTACCATTTCCCACTTTCTGAAACTCATTAAAAAATTATTTACTCTCATATGGAATCTTCTGTTGCATAACCTGATTCATGTTTGTGCAAACATTTTCTATTCAATGTTTCTGCTATTCAATGTCTCTTTTGTTCGCTGAGTTTACAGAGTTTGTTCTAATCAATCATTCAACTTCGCTGGACCTCATTTAATAACAATCTATTTGCGATAAATGAAATAAAGCAAATTATATTGTCCGGAAATTTGCAAGTACTGTAATGAATGATTGGTTATTGGCTTAACCTCAAAAGGAACATTATATAAAATTCTACAAACAAACCCGCAATTTAATGGCGAAGAAATCAATTATTCATCAATTAACTAATATGACGGAGTTTTTATTTTTAGTTTCAAAAAAACGATAGTTTTTTATACGCTTTAATAACTTTTAAAATTGAAAAAAAAGTTGAGAATCTATATTATATAAAACGCTAATACGTACGTATGTATGTATGTATCAATAAAACGTATGATATTTCTTTTCTCGCCCTGGCAACAGTTTTCATTTTTAATTGATTGGATTCGGCGCGCAAGAGCACGTAGTGAGCAACCAGATAACAATAACCAGAGTGAACATTATCAGGCTGTTCAATTCAGATTTATGCACTAAAAACATGACAATATTTAATTTAAACTCAATTAGGAATTAATTAATTAATTGAAGTGAGAATGCTTTAAAAGGCCGCTGTTGAATTGATATTTTTCTACTGGGAGCTACCTAAACGTCTAAAAAACGTTTAAGTGTTTGTATTGAATGCATTGAATTTTTTTATATTTCGCGTTTATTTATGCATTGAATTTTCACGCTTTAAAATGCAGAATATTAGTGAAGCAATATTTGATAATTTATTTTGCTAATATGTTTCTTATTTAGCTAATGTTTTGATTTTTTCACCATGTACAATCTAAATAGCTAATATACTTTTTTAAAAGCCAATAAGAACATTGGTAGAATTCTTCTACATAAGTACAATACTATGTCTTTGATGATAAAATACTATGTCTTTGATGATAATATATTATGTCTTTGTGCTAGAACATTGTGTTCATTGACGAGCGAGCGCAGCGAGCCATGGTTCACGGCGTGAACCACATAGGATTGCGTAGCAATTCTCGGGGGTTGGCGAGCGTTAGCGAGCAGAGGGCGAAGCCTCCTAGTTAATACATAAAATTAGATTAAGTTTCTAATTTCTTTCAAAATTTAACCGCAATTACCACTTTTTTTTTTTAAATGCAAAAAATCAGCATTTTTTTTTTCCATTAATAAATACAGAGTACTAAAACAAAACATAATACGCAAGTTCTAAGTTTAAATTTTAATTTTTTTATGTGTAAATAAATGTTTAATTTACCATCAGTTTACTATCCCAAATTATCTCGGGGCGAATGAAAAAAGTTAAATATATTAGTCTTTGTACATGAAAAACCATCTGCATAATTTTCGTTTTCGCTCACGAAAGCCATTTTTTTTTACTTCTTTTTTCTACGTAAATTCATCAACCATCGGCGTATACAATTATACAAAACACGTCCCACAAATAACAGAACTTCCAAATAAATATTGGCAAACTTCCAATCACAGCAGATTATTACTATTTTTGCTTCCGGTTGAATAAAAACGTGATAAAACAAAAGGTATTGACGAATTCTGCTATTGCCGAGTATACTCGGGATAGTAAATATTTGCAATATATACATACCCGAGTTAACACGGGATAATCAGGGAAGCGGTTAAAGCATCGCGTGTTTCATTGGGTACCTTTAAAAATTGTATAAAAAAAAGAAGTCTGGTTCAAATTGCGGTAAAAAATACACGCACCCTGAATGTCCATACATTATTTTTACCGGGAAATTTTATGGAGCAAAAAATACACTATACGCTAATTTTTACTGTAATACCTACTGTCAAATCACTGTAATTAAATAAGTGTTACTTTAAAATGTGTTTTAAAGGTAATAGTGGATTTTACGGTTGCTCCACTCAGAAAGTCGTATTTTCATCTGGAACTTTTAATAAAGTATAGATACTGTCGGACCTCTATTTAACGAAGTCGCTAAATCCCGATAATAGGTTCGTTATATGGAAAATTCGTTAAAAAGGAAATCACCATTTGAAATACTTAAACAACACGAAACAGGTTTTAAATTCATAAACACTAGACATAAATTAAAATAGCAATGGATACACCTTCATTTTGTAAACTAGTATCTAATATTTATTTTATGAATCTCAACCATAAAAGAAATCTGCATGGAAAGAAAGAAGAGAGCAAAACATTATCCAGTACATGCTACATACATTTTCAACTAAAAAAAAGGCTAAATTTCTGTATGAAATTATCTCTGCATTTATTATAGAAGTAAATTTAAACATCCATTACCACACGCGTCCTTATGTTTAATTGCGACTGACAAAATCCGTTAATTTTGTCTGAGTTTTTCGTTTGAAATGCAAACAAAAAGGGAAAGGGATTTTACTGCTTTCTCTAAAAGTTAAAAGGTCATTTCTCCCATGAAATGCGTTAACAAGTTTGATGTGTTCCAAAATATATTGGGAAATAGGGAAGAGGGATCTCAGAGAAAAGTTCGTTAAATAGAAAATTCACTTCACTATGTTGAAGTTATTTTACGAAGAAATTTCCAAAATGTTCTTAGTTCCTCGAAAAAAATCGCAAAATAGGGAAATTCGCAGAACGGAAGTTCGTTAAATAGAAGTCCGACTGTACTATTATTATTATAGTTGAATGCGGACACGCGTGCCCTTTTTCACCTGATCTTCCCACCACACTCCCCAACTGTGTGTGGTGGGCGTTACATCAGAGTGCATTCCACATCACTAGGACAATATGGGAGAAAGTCTCCGCTGATAAACAACCAGCGTTTAGCAAGGATTATCAAGGTACATTCTAACATAACGTAGGCAAACACTAAACCGACCACACAGCCTATGCAACCATGAAATTCAGAGACGAAATATTCACTCGCATTTGTCCGTTTGTATAATCACCACAGAGTTAGAGGAATGGATACTTTGACCTACAATACGGGGGGGGGGGTTATTTTATATCAATCAACTAAATGTTTTTGTCAACTTTTCAACTTTCTAATTCAACTTTAAGAAATCTAAACGCACATGTTTTTCCATGTTTTTCTGAGACACATGCAACTGTTTCATTGCGGGCCAAACTAAATCAGACAATCCGTATTCTCCCTCAATATTTTATAATGATTAATTGTATAACCAGCTTGAAACAGGCCAGCTATTTGCTACTATCTGTGCTCAATCTTCGTAGCGTTGTAATTTTGAACCCATCTCACTAGAGAAGGGAACTCCTTGATCTAGCGATGAGACTTCCGTGGAAGACTTTTCGATGGAATCTACCCGCATTTGCATTACATTGAGAGAATAACCACAAAATCCTCCCATGGTTAGCCCGACGGGGGGAATTTTAACATATGATCAGCCTGCCACAAAGGATATTTTATTCCAACTCTGTTGCACAGTCGCTGGCCAAGTTATTAAACGCACTCTAAGATTCTATGTGAAATATTAATTATCAGCTGATACTATACAGCTTTATTGCTTTTACGCCACCGAAACCGGTTTGCACTTGTTTACGTTCGTGTATCAGTTGGTTAAATTAGACGATATATAATATAACTACGACGATTAGATAAATTAGACTATAAATTATACAAATATAGAATATTTATTATATCAGGTATTATATTAGTATATTATAATACTTATACCAAATTATTAGACGCACTATAGTGTTTTAATAATGACATGTTTTGCACGAGTTTATAGGCAATAGTTTTATATTTAAACATACATGTAATGGGTTTTTATTGAGGAGATTTTTTTATATACTTCCTATTTGTATTTATTTTCAACGTATTGCATTGCAGTGTTAACTAATTGATACAAGAACGCACTATAGTGTTTTAATAATGACATGTTTTGCACGAGTTTATAGGCAGTTTTATATTTAAACATACATGTAATGGGTTTTTATTGAGGAGATTTTTTTATATACTTCCTATTTGTATTTATTTTCAACGTATTGCATTGCAGTGTTAACTAATTGATACAAGAACGCACTATAGTGTTTTAATAATGACATGTTTTGCACGAGTTTATAGGCAGTTTTATATTTAAACATACATGTAATGGGTTTTTATTGAGGAGATTTTTTTATATACTTCCTATTTGTATTTATTTTCAACGTATTGCATTGCAGTGTTAACTAATTGATACAAGAACGCACTATAGTGTTTTAATAATGACATGTTTTGCACGAGTTTATAGGCAGTTTTATATTTAAACATACATGTAATGGGTTTTTATTGAGGAGATTTTTTTATATACTTCCTATTTGTATTTATTTTCAACGTATTGCATTGCAGTGTTAACTAATTGATACAAGAACGCACTATAGTGTTTTAATAATGACATGTTTTGCACGAGTTTATAGGCAGTTTTATATTTAAACATACATGTAATGGGTTTTTATTGAGGAGATTTTTTTATATACTTCCTATTTGTATTTATTTTCAACGTATTGCATTGCAGTGTTAACTAATTGATACAAGAACGCACTATAGTGTTTTAATAATGACATGTTTTGCACGAGTTTATAGGCAGTTTTATATTTAAACATACATGTAATGGGTTTTTATTGAGGAGATTTTTTTATATACTTCCTATTTGTATTTATTTTCAACGTATTGCATTGCAGTGTTAACTAATTGATACAAGAACGCACTATAGTGTTTTAATAATGACATGTTTTGCACGAGTTTATAGGCAGTTTTATATTTAAACATACATGTAATGGGTTTTTATTGAGGAGATTTTTTTATATACTTCCTATTTGTATTTATTTTCAACGTATTGCATTGCAGTGTTAACTAATTGATACAAGAACGCACTATAGTGTTTTAATAATGACATGTTTTGCACGAGTTTATAGGCAGTTTTATATTTAAACATACATGTAATGGGTTTTTATTGAGGAGATTTTTTTATATACTTCCTATTTGTATTTATTTTCAACGTATTGCATTGCAGTGTTAACTAATTGATACAAGAACGCACTATAGTGTTTTAATAATGACATGTTTTGCACGAGTTTATAGGCAGTTTTATATTTAAACATACATGTAATGGGTTTTTATTGAGGAGATTTTTTTATATACTTCCTATTTGTATTTATTTTCAACGTATTGCATTGCAGTGTTAACTAATTGATACAAGAACGCACTATAGTGTTTTAATAATGACATGTTTTGCACGAGTTTATAGGCAGTTTTATATTTAAACATACATGTAATGGGTTTTTATTGAGGAGATTTTTTTATATACTTCCTATTTGTATTTATTTTCAACGTATTGCATTGCAGTGTTAACTAATTGATACAAGAACGCACTATAGTGTTTTAATAATGACATGTTTTGCACGAGTTTATAGGCAGTTTTATATTTAAACATACATGTAATGGGTTTTTATTGAGGAGATTTTTTTATATACTTCCTATTTGTATTTATTTTCAACGTATTGCATTGCAGTGTTAACTAATTGATACAAGAACGCACTATAGTGTTTTAATAATGACATGTTTTGCACGAGTTTATAGGCAGTTTTATATTTAAACATACATGTAATGGGTTTTTATTGAGGAGATTTTTTTATATACTTCCTATTTGTATTTATTTTCAACGTATTGCATTGCAGTGTTAACTAATTGATACAAGAACGCACTATAGTGTTTTAATAATGACATGTTTTGCACGAGTTTATAGGCAGTTTTATATTTAAACATACATGTAATGGGTTTTTATTGAGGAGATTTTTTTATATACTTCCTATTTGTATTTATTTTCAACGTATTGCATTGCAGTGTTAACTAATTGATACAAGAACGCACTATAGTGTTTTAATAATGACATGTTTTGCACGAGTTTATAGGCAGTTTTATATTTAAACATACATGTAATGGGTTTTTATTGAGGAGATTTTTTTATATACTTCCTATTTGTATTTATTTTCAACGTATTGCATTGCAGTGTTAACTAATTGATACAAGAACGCACTATAGTGTTTTAATAATGACATGTTTTGCACGAGTTTATAGGCAGTTTTATATTTAAACATACATGTAATGGGTTTTTATTGAGGAGATTTTTTTATATACTTCCTATTTGTATTTATTTTCAACGTATTGCATTGCAGTGTTAACTAATTGATACAAGAACGCACTATAGTGTTTTAATAATGACATGTTTTGCACGAGTTTATAGGCAGTTTTATATTTAAACATACATGTAATGGGTTTTTATTGAGGAGATTTTTTTATATACTTCCTATTTGTATTTATTTTCAACGTATTGCATTGCAGTGTTAACTAATTGATACAAGAACGCACTATAGTGTTTTAATAATGACATGTTTTGCACGAGTTTATAGGCAGTTTTATATTTAAACATACATGTAATGGGTTTTTATTGAGGAGATTTTTTTATATACTTCCTATTTGTATTTATTTTCAACGTATTGCATTGCAGTGTTAACTAATTGATACAAGAACGCACTATAGTGTTTTAATAATGACATGTTTTGCACGAGTTTATAGGCAGTTTTATATTTAAACATACATGTAATGGGTTTTTATTGAGGAGATTTTTTTATATACTTCCTATTTGTATTTATTTTCAACGTATTGCATTGCAGTGTTAACTAATTGATACAAGAACGCACTATAGTGTTTTAATAATGACATGTTTTGCACGAGTTTATAGGCAGTTTTATATTTAAACATACATGTAATGGGTTTTTATTGAGGAGATTTTTTTATATACTTCCTATTTGTATTTATTTTCAACGTATTGCATTGCAGTGTTAACTAATTGATACAAGAACGCACTATAGTGTTTTAATAATGACATGTTTTGCACGAGTTTATAGGCAGTTTTATATTTAAACATACATGTAATGGGTTTTTATTGAGGAGATTT